AAATTACACGACGGGGAGGTCATTAGATTTCAAGCCGGCGAAAGTCGGAGCGCTACCAAAGTTGCCTCAGTGTCCCCTGTGGGCTCCGCCAATGTCTGTGGAATTCTATTAGAATCCATCCGCCAGTTAATGAGGCTTTTCAGCTTGGACCAAAGTCCTGAACCAACTGACGTCGCCATTCCAGGAGCCACTAATGCCTTCACGTGAATGACATTGACCCGTCACAGACTTGCACGGGGGGTCTGATACAAACAGCCTGCATGTTTTTCTCTGTACGTGACTTTGATACGTGGGGGAAAACAAACTTTTGGATTTTAGCTGATTTGAGTGTCGTCTCTGTGGCAACGTGAGGGACAAAAGTCTAAATCTGGACTCATTTCCCTGCAGTGAGGCATCTCTCTTTTTCCTCCTGTCTTTCTTGTGTTCATGGTGGTGGGGGGGGTTGGAGGTGGCACTCGATTTAATCACCTCTGTCCCTGAATGAATAGCGTGTGTGCGCTCATCTCCAACAGGTCTCAGGTGCTCTTCCAAGCCCCCCCCCCCCACTGGCGGTGCTGCCCCCCCCACCCCCCCCTAAAAAAAATGCACACGCACCCGGTTGTAATGGCTGCCGGCTCGTCCCTCGGTGCATTCTGGGACGGGCGTTTGCAGCTGTCGGCGTTGTTGGAGCGTCTCCCGCTGTGTCACCGATCGTTGTTGAGCTCGCTTGTCACTCAGCGCCCTGTCAGCATATTCAGACAGGGGGGGGGCAGGCGTTGTGGAGCGATACGACCCGAGTGTGAATGAATGATTGATATTCACCTGTGTGGGGGGTAGTGGAGGGGGGGGGGACTCGTCGGTGTCTTGTCCCGTCCCTCCTGCAGAGAGAGAATTATAGAGTTGCTTTCCTTTTTCCTCTCCCTCGTCCCCCCCGCCCCATTTGGCTTTTAATTCAGCAGGAATTTGATTTTGTGGCATTTTTCTTTTTTTAATCCGGGGTGGGTTTTAAGTTTGACAGCTTAAACTTATTGTTGAGGGGGGGAATTGGCCCCCCCCCCCCCACCCACACCCCCACCCACACTCCCTGTACGTGAAAGCTGCTGTTTTGCTCGTACCATTGAAAGGAGAAAGCGTGAAGCGTCTCAGCAGGGGGGGGTGCTGGCTATTTATTACAAGGAGCTGCCGGCTTCACCTCCAGTCTCCCGACTTCAACTCCAAAGGGGGAGATTATTAAATACGCCGCAGCAGAGAAAACGAGGGCAGGCAAATGACGGAATGAGAGAGAAAGATAATGTGGAGCCAAAGAGGAAAATACTAAACGGATGAATGTGGAACGGCTGGATTCACCTGCAGGAGTTCTCAGTTCGTTCTGCTGTTACACCAAGAGCCCCCACTTTTAAAACCAACAAACAACAACCTTGTTCACTCTGACTAATGTAGGCAAGCATCGGTTACAGTATAAGTGGTTGAGGCAGAGGGGGAAGTGGCTTCAGCATGATGGTAAAACACTTCATCACCCGACCAAAGAGCACTCGGAACATCGCTAATGGACTCAGAGAGGGATATCCTCAGGCGGGATGAGCGTACCTTCCAGGCAGCCATGCGTCCGGTCGCCGACCACACCTTCCACGGTTGGACATTCCGGTCCCTCGTGTCCGTGGTCCAGTCCTCATTTACTGTGAATTAGATGTGATTTCATTGAGTCATGTCCCTGGTGGTTAATTACATCCAGCAGCATTTCTTGTCCGTGCATTCATGGCATATACACACCCGGAGGGGGCGCTGCAAAGAGCTGCGTGACTGCGCATGCTAATCCAGCTCTCACGGGTTATTATATTAATATAATGTAATTATTTATGTATGATCCAGCTAGCTGTGTGTGCCGCTGTAGAAGAGTCGGTGTGCAGCATCATGCATCACGATGAGCGCAGGGATTCGTTGTTTGGTTTGCAGGACCACCACCAATCATTGAAGTTCTTCCTGCAGGGAGTTCCCTCTGTGCCTCGCGCATCGTAGTATTTCATCACCTCCGAGGTACTTCAGGACACAACTGATGATATCCAGCCCGCAGTCTGACACACATTCACACATACACAGATGCACACGGACACACAGCTGCTCTCACAGACACATTCATCTTTAATGGCATCATCTACCCCCCTCCCACCCCCCCACCGGTCCATGAACATGTCAGAGCCGGGACGTATTGCTGCTCCGTATTTGCATGTAGCCGGGGATCACAAAATCAAATTTATCCCCGGAAGGTGCTGCTGGGTACAAATAGAGACGACAGGTCATGATGAAGAAGATCTGCAGCGTTACGACGTCACACATGTTGCATCTGTGTGAATAATCGGCAGGTAAAATAGTTGCAGGGTCGTGCGTATTTTCCTCGTGTTTCTGCATTGAGTGCAATCCTAAACAATTGAAACGATTAAGTCATTATTTGAACTTAGGAGGCAATAAAAACGAAATAAATGACATTGCTTTAACTTTTAAACAAACGATTTAAAGCAGAGCGACACCCAGAAGCAAACTAGAGAGCTTTTTGTTCCTTTTCATTTTTGATATTTCCAAAGTGAGGCTTCCGTTTTATCTTCGCTCACTTTACTGCAGGAAAGAGGCAGTGACACTTCACTTTACGTCCTCCTCTTTGTACTCAAACTGACTGAACAGGCATTTAAATGTCACGTGAGCTTTCATGAGTTGGAGGGCAGACGTTTTGTTTAACTTATTATATAAAAGTAGTCATCTGATTCTCTTTTTGGCTTCGCTTAGTGGTGAAATGAAATACATTAAAACGTTGATTTCATCTTAGTTAATGTTTGACTTGGTAAAAAAAAACAAAAAGAGAGAACAGAAGCGAGGCGGTGGTGCTGGTTAAGAATATATCCGTCCCACATCGTTGCATAACGCCAGAGACTCTTTTGACAGATGGAGCTGTTATAAAGATCTCCCGGCGGGAGCGAAAGTGTTAATTATCTCAGGGAACGACGCGCCCATTAAAACGCTTCTTTAACTCTGAGAGGTGTGAAACATGTCGAAGTCGTCCTGCCGCTTCAACAGAGATGACTTTAAAAGTCTAGGCGATAAGGCCGAATCCACACATGATGCCATAGAACCGTGAGACTATAAATATGTCCATAAGTCAATAAGTTTAAAGTCATGATGAGCACAGGGATTCCCTCGCATCATCGCTTTGCCTTGATGAAGGATCATTTCATTTACACTTTCAGAATGAAATAAAAGATGACGGAATTTCCTCCCTTTAATGGTTGTTTTGATACGTTATCCATTAGTGGTATAGAAGAATCATGGGAATGTTCTTTCATTGTTTCATGCAGAGGAAGCATGATCACATTTTTCAAGAAAATGCAACAAGATAAGAAGAAAGTACAGAAAATGATTTCATGACTAATTTAGAGCCCTAAAATGGACCCCTCATTATTTATTATTAAACAGCTTTCCTAGAAAGCAAAAGTCTTGAAACCATAGCGTGATAGCCAAAGCAAGGGCAGAGAAGGTGTGGAAGACCATTGCTCCTCGTATCCTACCCTGCTGGAAGGGGGTTGCTTCTATGCATTCACCCCACGAAACGTCATGTTATTCTGGGTTGTTCTCATCTGGCATGTAGGGTCCCAGTATCTGTGATATGATGCACACACACACACATAGCATCTGTGATGAGATGCACACACACATAGTATCTGTGATATGATGCACACACATAGTATCTGTGATATGATGCACACACACACACATAGCATCTGTGATGAGATGCACACACACATAGTATCTGTGATATGATGCACACACACATAGTATCTGTGATATGATGCACACACATAGTATCTGTGATATGATGCACGCGCACATAGTATCTGTGATATGATGCAACGCGCACATAGTATCTTTGATATAATGCACACACATAGTATCTTTGATATAATGCACACACATAGTATTTTGTGAATATGATGCACACACATAGTATTTGTGATATGATGCACACACACACACATAGCATCCTGTGATGAGATGCACACACACATAGTATCTGTGATATGATGCACACACAACTAGTATCTGTGATATGATGCACACACATAGTATCTGTGATATGATGCACGCGCACATAGTATCTGTGATATGATGCACACAGACATAGTATCTGTGATATGATGCACACACACATAGTATCTGTGATATGATGCACATACACATAGTATCTGTGATAAGATGCATACACACATAGTATCTGTGATAAGATGCACACACACTTAGTATCTGTGATAAGATGCACACACACTTAGTATCTGTGATAAGATGCACACACACTTAGTATCTGTGATATGATGCACACACACATAGCATCTGTGATAAGATGCACACACACTTAGTATCTGTGATATGATGCACACACACATAGCATCTGTGATAAGATGCACAACACATAGTATCTGTGATAAGATGCACACACACATAGTATCTGTGATATGATGCACATACATAGTATCTGTGATAAGATGCATACACACATAGTATCTGTGATAAGATGCACACACACATAGTATCTGTAAGCATGTGTCATTAAAACTATGAGCTGGGTGAGTCGGACTTTACGAGGGGACATGCAGCGAGTTATTCTGTGAACATGGGCCATAATTCCACTCAGCATGTTAGAGGACTTGCACTCTACGCCCACCCACCCCGAGCCCAAGGGCCCAAGAGCGAGCGCATTGGCTCGACTACATTCCGTATATTTACTTCCCCGGTTTGTGAAGCTCCGAGCAGCTTTGAATCGATTATTTCCTTTTCCCTCCTGATTCTTAGTATAAAAATACATGAAAGTGTTCTTCCGTGTTGCATGTGTGTGAGTCCGTGTTATCAGCGGGCCGAAGGGGGAGCGAGGGCCGCCCGGCGAGCCGACCACAGAGACGCATGGATCGGCCGGCTCGGAGATTATGTTGATTGATCGGACAGGAAGCTTTTCTCCCTGACGTCGTGTTCTTTGATTTCAGGGGCCGAAGGCGCCGTGTTCAGCAAATCAGTGGAGACGCCACACGTCAGGGCCGAGCCCTTCAAAGAGCTCAGGTGAGTCGCCATCCGATGTCTATGCTTTACAATAAATACATGCGCATGTGAGGGCGGTCATGAGTACACAGACACCAAGTCATTAATTAGCTTGTGTTGGAGCTAAACTCCAATAAAATCATTCAAAATGATACATGTTAACAGCGCACACCAATATTCCAGGACTAATCACCGAAATGCAATACTGCAAATACTGCCAGTATTTGAATCCATCATGCATGGCTAATTGTGTTTACTGGCCCCTTTTTCCCTATATTGTGTCTTAAGAATGATGCATTAAAGGATTTCTAATCCATGAGCCTATTTCAACTACGACATTTATACATTTAATCAAACCGTGCAAATTGTATTTGTATGTGTTGGAGCCCTGGGGTCACAATACCTCCGTAACGCACTCAAGTGTATAAAAGATCTTGCCCCCTTTCTATTTCCTTGGAGGCGGGGCGGAGGACCCAGTAAAGAGGAAGGATTTAATTGTAAATGTCTATGAAGTGAGGGAAAAAGCGCTCATCCACAGGCAATTAGCTCCCCTGTCAAGTAAAGTCTGTCCGTAGGAGCCGTAATCCCTGCTTTGTTCTGTGGCAGCCGATGCCTCAGCGGTTCCCCTTTTTGTATCAGCGCCTCTTCGTTTTCAAATCAACATCAATTGTGGATTGAAATCGACACAATCCAAAGCAATGTACCCTGAAACGAAAGGACAATAAGCAGCGAGTGTGAAGATGAGAGAGAGAGAGAGAAGACAAGCAGAAAGCAGCTGTAGACCTTCTTGCGCCGGGTTCACACCACCTGCAGTTTGCACCGTCGGGTCTGTTAGCGCCTTAAGCTACAGGCCGACAGGTGCAGGTTAAATGTTCCTTTTTACCTAAAGCTCATTTAAGCTTATGGAAGGAGAGTTTGTACGTTAAAAACAAAGCAAACTTGACATTTGTCCGCGTGAGTCTTCAGTAATTGTTCTTGAACTCTAGCAAGTCAAATCACAATGTGTGACAGGCATCCGTCAGATTGACCTCTGACGGAGCGTGTGCGTGTTGCTCTGTGTGGACAGCGGACGATGTCTCCTCCATGTAAGCGCCTGGTTTGCGTGACGATTAGGGAGTCGGGAGAAAAAATACAATCTGTAAAATGGAAACACGCCACCCGAATATGTCAGCCGGCTTCTTAGGAAATAAATGTTGACTTTGTCACCTGTCGGGTCTGATGGGCTGCAGCGTCTGGCCGTGATTGACATCTCCCTCACACCCCTGTCACACGTTTTGGTTCAATTCCCAGCCCACTTTGCTGAGGGTTAATTCACCAGAACGACGGGAAGCTCCTGTGAGGGTGTTCAGAACCTTCAGCGGGCCTGTTCAGAACCGCTCCGCCTGTCTGCTTCTGGCCGCTCTCTGCAGTAAAAACACACCAAACTGAAATATAATGATAAAATCATTTCTCCAGCGACTTGTGCACTTCAGCAGTCATAGAGGTTTGTCCTCTAAACCTCTACCCCCCCCCGTCCCCCCGTCCCCCTAGTCCAATACAAGCACAAAACAGACCTAAATGTGCTCTGAGAAACATGATTTTGATCTGAAGTCAAAGCGAGGCGGAGCGGCAAAGTGTCTGTGGGGTGAAAATAAGAAATTCTGGAAATAGGGGAAAGAAGAGAAGACTAAAGTTTTAAAGTGTGAAGATTAAAGAATGAGACGAAGTGAGGAGGAAGAAAAAGGCCGCGATCAGGAAAGAAAAGAGCTTGAAAAGTATTGAAGACACGCAGAAACAGAACAGAGCAAAAATAGAACAGAGGACGTGTTCTCGTCGGATACAGATTACGGGCGAGATAGACGGGAAGTTGGGCGCTGAAGGAAGAAGGAGACTTTGAGGAGGGATTGAGGCAGTAAATGGAGCAGTGACGGGAACTCCGGGTTGGACGAAGAAGGACTTTGATGACAAATATCCAATAACAGTATTTCAGTGGTGTGTTTCATCCGTCACTTCTGCTTCCCCTTCAAATAACGAGACGCCGCTACCATGTGATCGTCTGCACGACTTGACTGACACAATCTACGGCGATTGTTGGCTTTGTCTTTACCCGCCCCCCCCCCCTCGTGCGTGAGCATCTTTAGTGACAAGCAGTCAATCGAGACGGAGATCCGGCCCAAGATGACCCCTCTGCTGGGTACAAATGGAGGATCTAAACCAGCCTTTTTCAGGATATCGCATTAACCCCCCAACACGCACTCACCGACGCGCACGTAGAGATCAACCGTCGTGTAGCCGCCGGGGGGGGTGATGCCTCGTCGGCACCTGACAGACACCTTTGTGGAAGTTCATCCTGGTTCGTGAGCCGAATACAAACGAGGCGACGAGAAGGACGCCGATTGTGCGTCTGTAGCGGACCAGAAAAAAAAGGCGACGGGAGCCGCAGGGAGGAGGATTGTGAGGAGTGCAGCTGGTGGTATACTTATATTACTAATCTAGTACTTCCGTGTACTTGCTGTGTACTTACGGCTGCTTTACTGCCTCCTGGGTCCTGAAACGTTCTAAGCAAAAAGGACTGCTGACTGTTAATAGTCTGTTACAGACCTCGACATCACAGGACCGTGTGTCCACGAGAGAGAAAGACATCGTCCTGCAATCCAACCTGACCTCTTCCTCCTCGTCCTCCTCGCCTCTCCAGCTCAGCTCTTTGTTTCGCCTCCAATCTCCCCGCCTCCTTATCGGGGCTCGCTCCCCTCTCACGCTCACTCCTCATCCTCACCCTGCCCCCACTTACCCTCCAGCCTCCTCTTCTCCTCGCTTCAATTACCTTCACCCCTCCCGGACCGCTCTCCTGGTCCTCCTCCTCCTCCTCTCATCCCTCTTCCCCTTGTCTTCCCTCGTTCGCCCTTCATTCTCCTCACGTGCTGACGCCCTTTTTGTTTTATTGTGCCCACTTTGCTTTCCAGTATTTAACTCTAAACTCTTGTCATAGTCTGTAGTGTAACCTTGCCGGCGCATTTATCACAGCATTAAGCTGTTAACAGAATAAAGCCACACATTCCTGATACTTCTGCTGGGAATTTCTTTATTATTCATGTAAAAAGATCACCGTGAGCACATGATGCACATTATCATTGGAAAAGGTTAAAGCTCCTTCATCAACCCCCCTTCTCTCCTCACTCCCCCCCTTCCCTTTCTGCCCTGTCTAATTTCACAGTCGCACCCTCCCTCCGCCCGCCCCTCCACCCTGGTCATCCTCCACACCTTCGTCTCGCACCGATCTCCGTAATGGAGCGGATGGCGCGTTCGCCCCGCCGAGTGTCCCGTCTGTCCGCGGAGCCGCTGTGAAGCAATCAGCTGCACGCGCGTCGGCCCCAGATTGCCATTTAACCTGCGATTCGCCGCGTGGCCCATTTGAGGCTCAGAGCGGCTTGTGTATTTAGAACGGCGAACCGTGCCGGAGGAACGGCGGCGGATGATTTGAAGAAGGCGCCGTAGGCCCGAGGACAAAGGGGTCGGGCTGGTGGAGCAATATTAACCGCTGATCCCAGGTGTAGATATCAAGCGCTGCCGAGGAAATACAGAGAACGTGTACGACGAGAAGCGGAACAGAAAAGACCACGGTGAAGAAAGCGTTAGGCTAGATGGCTCGGAGGAAAGTAGTCTGTGGCCACCGCAGAAGTCAGAGGTGACCACAGGGAAATAAGATTAAAGAACTGGAAGCAAAGACAGATTCGGGCTGCGGGAAGTGGAAGCGAGTAAATACGTCTCGGAATGGGTTTGTTGTGGCATCTTGACGTTGTTTTGTACCCGTTTAGCTTCCAGTTTCATAGTTAGATCCACATTTATTATGAAAAGAGAAAAAACTGTTCACATGAGAAGGAAACAGAAATAAGAGACAACAAAGTGGTTGAATTATTCACTGCGACTGTGTAGCAGAAATAAAAATCAACGTAACCGTGGGACAGATAAACCCTCGACGAGCAACCCGAGAGAAGGAGGGAGGAGGGAGGGAGGAGGAGAGAGGAGACAGGAGGAAGAAAGAGGAGGGAGGATGGGAGGAGGAGGAGGGAGGAAGAGAGGAGGAGGGGAGAGGAGGGAGAAAGATGGAGGGAGGAGGAGACAGGAGCAAGAGAGAGGAGGGAGGAGGAGAAGGGAGGAGGAAGAGAGAGGAGGGAGGAGAGAGGAGACAGGAGGAGGAGAGAGGAGTGAGGAGGAGAGGGGAGGAGGAAGAGAGAGGGGGGAGGAGGAAGAGAGAGGATGGAGGAGGATAGAGGAGACAGGGGAAGAGAGAGGAGGGAGGAGGAGAGAGGAGACAAGAGGAAGAGAGAGGAGGAGGAGAGAGGAGACAGGAGGAGGAGAGAGGAGGGAGGAGGAGAGAGAAGGGAGGAGGAAGAGAGAGGGGGGAGGAGGAAGAGAGAGGATGGAGGAGGATAGAGGAGACAGGGGAAGAGAGAGGAGGGAGGAGGAGAGAGGAGACAAGAGGAAGAGAGAGGAGGAGGAGAGAGGAGACAGGAGGAGAGAGAAGGGAGGAAGAGAGAGGAGGAGAGAGGAGGGAGGAGAAGAGAGAGGAGGGAGGAGGAGAGAGGAGGAAGGAGGAGAGAGGAGGAAGGAGGAGAGAGAGGAGGGAGGCCTTCACATCAAGCATTGACATCTCCTCTGTTTGTTGGGGCGAACCTCCAACCACAGAATGATATTAACGTCTCACCCGTGTGTCCAGTTGCAACACATTTAAGTTGCGGCTCTAATTTGTTTTTTATTCGCCCTGCGGCGGCGTCGCTTAACGAGAATCCTGATGCGTTGTGTCGGCGCCGTTGACGCAGGATGAGGAACTGAAACGAAACCAGCTGGTCAGGTGAGGACCGGTTGTAGCCCGTTTTATACGTTGTCTTATCGGGACAAGTGAACACAACTGAAAACACAACAACGAGGCCGAGGCGTTACGCGATGCAATTAATGTGTGTTTGGGATCAGAGAGCAAAGCAGAATCCACTTTTAATTTGCAAAACAAAAAAAATGTCCGGACATTTAGAACGTTTCACAGACCTAAAACATTGGACACAATGTAATCGACATTCACAATATTAACGACACTCGATGTTACTAAACCTTAGCTGCAACAACCAGGATGGAGTGATGATATCGTTTATATAACTGTGTATTTGCATATGAAACCTGCTACCCGCACAGATCTAAAGCTCACAATCCCTCAGCTGAATAGTACAGTGTGTGTAGAGGTGTGTGTGGTATCAATAAAAACCTTCCCCACGCAGCGAACATCACGCAGCATGCAGGCGGGCCTCGGTGCCGCTCCGCCTCTACTCCATCCGTGGCGGCGGCGGCTGAAGGAGGTTCTCGCTGCGGTTTTGAGTTTTAATCCTGTGACCGTTCCCAGGCTGGAGTCTCCCACTCGCTCCCTGCTGATGGAGGCCCCTAAAGGCATCCAGATCCTGGCTGAGGCCGGAGACATCCAGGCCATCTGCAGGAACGAGCTGCGCCTGGAGTCCAAGGACGGAGAGGTGAGTCCACCAACTTCTAGTGATGAGAAACCAAACGGCCAAACCACAAACTAAAGCTCATCCCGTAAAAAACAATCAGAGAATCCGCGTGTCTCTAAAGCCCAGTTGAAGAATCCATCGTGATGCGTGTGAGTGACCTTTCCTTCAGTTACTTAATTGGTGACAAATCTGTGAAGCTAAAACGACTCGACTTGTTCTTGGAACACAACAACAAAACCTCCCAGTCCGCCGAGTTGAGGAATGAACTTCTTAACTTATTCTGTCCTGCGGCCACAGCGGCTGATTGGGCTCCATCTCCATTTGCCATTTCTCCCGTCCAAGCGTATTTTTAGCAAACAGCGATCCAAACAATAGTCAGCGCCCTCGGCCAACATGGAACAGGCATTTAGCTTATTGGCTGGTGGCGGCTTCCCACGCGCTGGCCGTGCACCAGAATCCCTCACCGCCACGGAGGAGCTTCTCCTCCTCCATTCAATCACCGGGGAAGTTTTCACATGTTGACTTTGTGGAGTCGTGTCCACTTGCTTTGTCCTTTTTTTTTTTTTTCTGCCTTCAACTCTCCTCCTCCTGCGACCGCTTTCATCCTTTTCCTTCCTGCTTCTGAATTCCTCCAACCGTCCCCCGATTCGTTACACACACCCGTCCTCACATTCAGCACAGCCGGCTGTGCCGATAAAAGGATTTCCCACCTTAGGTTGCACCAGTCATGTCATGTCAGATCTGTTTAAATCAGTGAAGGAGGATTAGGGAGAAGAAAGTGTTTAAAAGTTTCCCACAAAAAACATTTCCACACGTTGAGACGAGCTTCCGATACCAGACGGACGGGGAGAGAGAGACGGATTCCGCAAGGTGCCCTTGGCTTTGGATCGCCTTAATTAAAAGCAACCCGCAGGAGCCACGCCCACCCCCCCATCTCCCCGCAGGCCTCACTGCCGCGCGTTGGAAAAGGAGGCTGGTGAACTCGTATAATTAGAATCACGTCCTCACACTCCATCAGTGCTGCACATGTTCACTCGCCAAACCTCCAACACACAGTTTTCTACCAATGCGTTGGGGGGGGGGGGGTGTGTTGTGATTTGGTCTTAATTATTTCACAGTGTGTTTATAAGTCGTGGAGGTTATTTATACAGACGTTGTGTAGACATGGAGATATCTCCCCAAGGCCGCGTGCAGAGCGCGATGCGGAGGCGACGTGCAATGAGAGAGAACAACAATAGAAAATATGTAAAACCAAAACCCACCAGTCTGACCTTTGCACGGCTCATCTACACACACACACACACATGCACACACACACACACACGCTACACAGCGTGTCGCTCGCTCTGCCCCTCGTGTTGATAGATTTGTTCCGCAGCAGCCGTCTGAGGCAGTCAGCTGAGGCTCGGGTCATTTGATGGCGATGCCTCCCGGAGGCGCCCTGTGACGGCTCCTCTACCTTCTTTCCATGGCTGGAGAGCTGCTCCTCGACGGCGGTCGTGCACGAGGCCCCGGAGGCCGCGGAGGAGGAGGAGGGGGGGGGGGGGGTAGATGAACGGGATTCGTGCAGCGGTGCTTTGTGTCCCTGCAGAGGGACAGAGGCAGTTTGTTCCAATCAATGTGGGGTTGTGGGGAGTGAAATTAGTGCACGAGTAGCTTGTGAGTTTGTGGCAGAATGGATTCTTCTTCTGGGAGACGTTTCTCATGGACGTTACTCTGCTGCTTCAAGCACAACCTTCACCCAGCTGTTGTGTTGCTGGTAGGAGGCTGTGGCTTTGTGATGTCATCAGGTGGAGGCAGGATTCACAGGCGTTTACTGAGGTGATTTCATGTTACATATTCTACACGTGGAGAGAACCAAACGCCTTCATTCACCCTCAGCAAACAAGAAGCTGCTTCACTTTGTTGTGTCCTTTTATCAGCGAGTGGAAAACACGTCCAAAGCCACAATTATTCATCCCAGGAGTAAAAACTTCAACCTTTCATATCAGCCTTTCCAAAGCCATTATATGTGAACTTCAGGATGTGCTACTGGGGAAAGAAGATAACGATTTTCATGATGACTCTCGGTTGCTGCGAGGGGGCTTGTAAAGTATTTCCTGGTGTTCATACGGAGGATTGACTCTCATCCCGCCTGCTTCTCAATCACGGAGCCGCATAATATGCAAAGAGCAGAGGTGCAGTTCTGTGCCCCCCCCCCCCCCAACCTCCATCCTGACGTGTCAGCAAATTTCCTATTTTCCTCACAGGTGATCCGTTTATTTTGTCACTTCGCACAGATCTCTCTGGACGCTCGGAGGATTCGCCTCATGCGGTTGCCTGAGGGGAAGGCCTCCTCCACCAGCTCCTCGTCCCCTGGAACCAGGCAGACGGTCTACGAGGTTTGCGTCTGTCCCAACGGGAGGCTCTTCCTGTCCCAGGCCGGCACCGGATCCACCTGCCAGATCAGCAACAATGTCTGCCTCTAGGACTGACGCATACAAGTATAGATGAATACAGCGATATCCTGAAGAGAACAGGGCAAAAACAGACAGACGTACGCACATTGCCTGGTTCCAGGATCAGTTCACAGCAAACGGTAAATACAGAGACTGCCTGAGCCGAAACCAACAATCTGTACCTGTACAGACACACACACGTACACACATTCAAATTACACTATCAGACCGATGTTTAGGCTGAATGGATGTTTTAACTGGCCAGTACTGAAAATGTTGGATTCAAGCTGCTGACAGCTGGTCTTTTGTGCCAATATTTCAATGCTAAAAGATATTTTCTCCTTTTAATTTTCTACGTCTGAGAGTGGAAAACCTTTGAAATCAACATTTAGATCATCACGGGACACTAAAACTATCCACTGTGTGTCATACACATCTCTCTGAGCTCTTTATAAGTACAGCACTGCAGGAGTTATTGGGCTTTTAAACTGAAATACATGAATAAAAGAACAAAAGGAAGAAAAAAATTGCCGGTTTTCCCAACGTTTTTTTATACAACGAAGGTCACACTTCGAATAAACATCCGATTCTGACCCGCTGCATCATAAAGGAGCGGCAACGGTAATATATTGGTCCAACCCGACACACGTGACACTAAGAGGCAAACTAAATCAGATGCACACACAAGCCACACGGTGGACATGTGGACACACACACAGACACACACACACACACACACAGACAAGGACTCACTCTCACTCTCTGGAAGGAAAATCTCCAGAGATTTACTAGAAGAGACACGGATCTGTTCCCTTTCTCCCTCAAGCGCATTTCACCACTGGGATCACCCATGGCAACAGGCCCCGCCCCCTTTATTCTGCTCCTCCCTGATGGTCGCCCAGCTGAGATGAGTGAAGCGTCTTTACTTTTGCTGGTGCTCATTTGGCATTTTGAAGCTCCAAAGCTCAGTATGAGCACGTAATATGACACTACATGTGGGATGAAGGTTTACTGAACGTGAAGACGAGTCTAGAAGGAACTAGATACCTGAATTGCACCGTTCAGGCTTTGCTTTAGGATTATTTCACTGATGTTTACCTCCTCGGTGACACTGTTTCTAGCTCTCGCCATTCATCCACTGATACAAATGCCAGATCCAGAGGTGTGTGTGTGAGCATTGCGTTCTGTCAGCGTGGGAATACAGAAACCACGTAAGGATAACATTAAAAAAAAAGAACAGAAAACACAACAGAGGGGGATTTTTCCTAAACGATCAACAATGCAGCACATCAGCACTCAAAGAAATCCGCCCACTCGCTCTTTGTTTGGATGTGTTCAAAGTGTGTCTTGACAGACTGAGTGTTCACATCGTATCACACTCACCGCCGTGTTATTTTGACATTTGAGTGTCACTGAATGCTTCTGCTCTCAACCACCATTTTATGTATATTTTATTTGATGTAATCTCTTCTTGATTTGAATCTGAATACAAAGCTTTTCTTTGCTTCTTTCTTGCACGGAACGTATGTCACAAATGTTCAGCGTGAGCTGCTTTTCCGGGGCCTTTTTACAACGCGTGGCGCTCTGTGTAGAAGAGGGGAGCCGTGGCGACATGTGCCTTATGTCCGTGCACTTGTGGCGAGAAGAAGCACGTCGCACAGACCGTCTTTGGCTTCCCCCGAGTGACGTCGTCCGTCGAGGATCTTCTCCCGTGGAGCGAATGCAAAGACCTTCAGCCAGACGCGACTGCAGCCGACTCGGCGACTTTGCTTTTCATCATCACGTGTGTGTGTTTCCGTTGATGATTTAAGAGACAAACTTGGGATCCTGTGGAGTTTGAAAGACGGACACCAGAACAGAACATCTGCTTTCTCGTTAAGATCTTTGTTTGTTGTTGTGTGGCACATATGGTTGGTGTGTAAAGATCTTTGGTGACAACACACACACACACAGGAGAAAGCAGACCTGAGCACCTCGCAGAAGGCCGCTGCATTCATTCACATCTAATGTTTAAAGTGTCCCGTTCTTTTTGAGAGTCTCCCGGCTTTGTTGCTGCGTATTAAAGGACTTGAGCATATCTGACGTGTTTGTTTTGTTGAGTACATTTCGTACGCTTGTACTTGTAGATTAACGCACACATGATGGAGAGGGAAGCCTTCTGATGACGCACTTCTCCTTCCTGCTGAGCTCAGACGCTTCACACAAGCCGACTCTTTGTGTTGTTGCTGTTGTTGTTGTTGTTGTTCTGTTGGGCCCAAGGTCTTTGCATTCGCTCGCGGTGTGTGTTTGTGTGCGTGTAAATTTGTGTCACTACGAGTGAGCTTGTGTTGAATGACTCTCAGAGAAGCAAAACACAAGAAACCGAGCAAAAGGAAGCAGAGAAGGGAGCCGTGCACAGGGTTCCACATGAGCTCCACCAGGGGATTCATGCAGAAACTAAGTTACAAAACTAAAGGATCAGGTCATAAGACAATGTCCTAGGACATGCACAAGCCCCAAAGTGTAGATGATACGATGAAGACTCTGATCAGACTGGGATTCTAGACCAAAACAAGGTGTGAGGCAGCTCTGTGTGGTCGAGTGCTCCTCACTTGCTCCCTAACGACGGCCTTCTTCGTTCTTCAGTCCAACGCTGCCGTTCATGGAGTAGTTTGCAAAGATGCCACGATAAAAAGGCGCCGGTCCAACTGACTGCAGTCATTAGATGACATTCTACCCAGTGAACAGAGAACTTCATGTAGTAAACATCCAGCTTTATTGAAGCATTGAGAATGCTGAAGCGTTAAACAACACGAAACACGTTTCCAGATTATTCATTATTAAATGAAGTCAATATTCCTCCAACTTCTCCATGAAGTCAGTGGCACCTCAGAAGCTGCAGAGTGAGAACAAGTGGGAGAAGCTGATGGTTCTGATTCTCAGGATTATCGCGCTTCCTTTCTGTCATTGATCTTTTCTTCAGCTGCTCCTCCAGAAACTGTGATGCTGTCAGAACAGAGCAGGACGTCATACGATGAGAAAGTGCAAAACCAACTGCAGAGGAACTGCAGATGCTGGTTTCAGGCCACCCGAGAAAGGAGCGACTTGACAGCATCTCATCCTCAACGAAACAGGAAGGCCAAATAATTTTCCATCCGCAGTGCAAATATTTCCCCTTTCAGGGCGAACAGAGGACGCTGATGAACGCCGTCGTGTCTAATTGCATCAGCGTTTTATTTCTAATCAATATACGACACAGAGCCGTAGCTCCATCGTTCTGATGATGATGGTGATGATGATGGGTTCCCATTCTCGTGGGCGAATTTACGACTTTAATGCTGAACACGATGCACCGTAACGGTTGAAACATTCACAATGTCCTCGTACCGTTGATGACCCTCACAGAAACATAGACATTGAAGGGCGGGGCACAAGTAATCCACCCGAAAACGTCATATAACGTCTCTTATCTGGGTTTTTATCTTCTGCTGGTTCCACATCTAACTGATGTCTGCATCGTCTGCATCGCTCCGGCGCCACGTGGGCGGCGTCTGAGAGAAATCGGTTCCCTGAGTGTTCTGATTCCTTCCTATTGTCTCTCGAGCGTAAATACAGCTGACGTGCGAACGAGAACCAGACGCCCCCCCGAGCTGTTTGTCCGGTGCTAATGAAGCTTTTTTATTCCACAGAAAACAGCAGCAACTGTCTCTTTATATTTTATTTAAGGATGGGAAATACAAAAGGTTATTTAAGTCCAAGCCTTCTATTCAATTCATTGTGCCTGAGATGGCAACATTTTTATGTTTTAAAGTCAAATATTCAGTCCCTTAAACGAGATAACGGTGACCTCGGTTATCGGTTTTCACCTGTTTTTTCTTCACTTGCTTGTCGTTTCAGCGACACGGGCGGCGTTTCAGAGTCAAGCATCCGTCACATGATTTCATGCCAATTTCGTCCTTTAGAAAATAACAAAAGCTTCGAACAAAGAGCCACTTGTGTAGAGATAACTAATCCTTATTGCAATAAGACGCCTGTGAAGATGAGGGGGGGTTGACTCGTTACAGAATGAAGCCACTGCAGCTTTACTGCGGCTACGAATGAGCTAAATCATGAAGTTTAGGAGAATGTTTGCTGTTGTTGGATCAAGTGATGGAGACGTTCCTCTGTGTTTCATTTGCTTGTTTTGGTGGATTTTCTTCTGCCTGAAGATGCTGAGTGCCGTGTCGTTGACGTCTGTTTCATTTGCAGTGATTGTGAAACCTTTAACTTGTATTTTGTGTTTGAGCGGTTTCCTCATCAGCAGGTACTGAACCAAAGGTGTTAATACGTCTGATTTAACCTGCCGCAGGTTAAATGTGGACATTCTGTGGACAATACAAATGCTAACCAATAGATTTGAGGTGTTGTTTTGACAAAGCGTAGTCATTTTTACTTTATTTTAGCCTTAGCATTTTCTGTGTCATGTGACCTTTTGAAAATGAAATGTACAATTTCAGCGTAGAAAACTGAGCAGATCAAGGACTCTGAAACTAAACAATCCTTAAATAGTGTAAATACAGAACAACGGAATGCTGTGTTTGTACTTTTCACCCTTCAAAAAGTGATTCTGAGATTTGTGAGATTGAGAATTTAATTCGCCATTTTGTGTTTTGAGGGATGTTTTTTTTTCTGGGACGTGAATGACATCATCGCACATTCTATGCAAACAAAGTGACACAGAACACGTGGTGACATTGCAATGAATTATGTCAGTAAATGCTCTCAAATCAACACAATTTCTGCATTCAGTTAGTATTTATGAGTCTAAACTGTACCAATAAACATTTTAAAAAGACCCCCTGACGCACTGACAGACAGCACATTGTAAAGCACAAGGGTTCAAACGAGTAACGTCTACTTCACCTCCAGCTCGGACCCCAACGAGGTTTCATGTGACGTCTGAGTCGAGATCCAGAACAAGAACAAGAACCGCCTGTAAGGATCTGATCAAGAACCACGTGTTCACTGACAGATGAACACATTGAGGAAGGAGGATTTGAACGACGTGTCCGAGGCCGTCAGCGGGGTTAACGGGTCAAAGGGAAAAGGTTTCAGCCATTTCCTCTGATTGGTTATTGTGTCGGTCAGTGACCGTGGTGATTGTAGGGAAGATGTCACGGTTTGGGTTTGTTTCCTGTCTTATTTTGTAGTTTTCTGCCTCTTGTCTCTACGGGTAACTTCACTTCCTGCCTCGTCCACTCGTCCCCTGTGATTGTCTGATTGTTTCCACCTGTGTCCAATCACCTGCACCTCCCCAGTGTATTAAAGCCGCGTGTGCCGCTTGTCACTTGTGTTGTCATTGTTGAATGTCCGTAAGGTCTCGTCAGAGTGGTCCTGGCGCTTGTCTGTGTTTTTGCCCCTTGGCATTTTTTGCTTTTGGAAATTTTGACTATTAAAGTCTTTTTGTTTTTTTGAACTCTGCGTTTGAGTCCTGCCTTCCCCGCTTCCCTGACAGAAGAAAGGAATAAAACAAACCGAAGGAGCTGGCTGACGGTGGACAAGTTTGATTTGAAAAAGGTAGCAAGACAACAAGCAGAAGATCCAGCACGAAGCCATCAAACATCAGAACGGTTCCCAAGGAAGAACCAGCCAAAGTTCTGCTTGTTTCTTTTTCCGTCAAACCGTCGCGGTTCAGAGATTTCGTTTGTTGTGACACAAAGTGCCCCGAGGTGCCGACGCGTTCGGTCTTCTTCCTCCTGGAACCGTTCAGTAAATCCACACGCTTGATAGTTTCACCACTTTTGACTCTTTTTACCTTCCAGCGTAAATGTGCCTTATTCCATCGCCTGTCAATCTGACCCCCTCCAGTTCCAGGCGCACGTCCGGGCCGGCGCTCTGAGCTTTGTGGACGTGATGAATAGTTTAGTGAAACAGCGTCTGGTTTAAAGTTCACGCTGTGGACGGTGTGACAGCCGGTGTAGTTCTCCTGTCTAGAATCACGCCGCAACAAAACCGCGGATGTGGGCGCGTGAGCGAGTTTGAACCCTCTCAAGGCTCATTTCATCGGCTGCACTGGGACGTTTAGGGAGAAAGGATCCACAGAACGGCACCAGGCTCATTCAGTATTTTACTCAAGCTCGACAAATAACATGAAAATGACAAAAAAAACTGTCCGTGTTTGAGGCAGCAGCCTGTAAGTGGGATGAAGCCATTAGACCAGGGGTCTCAAACTCGCGGCCCGCGGGCCAATTGCGGCCCTCGGGACGATATTTTGTGGCCCCCGCCTTCATATGAAAGTGTAATGTTAGTGCGGCCCGCGAGTTCTATATTGTAGCAACCTCGCTGTTAGCAGCCACTTACAACCTCCACCCCAGCGCCGACCGTTCCGTTCGCCGGTCGGACCGTCAGTGTCATCCCCCCCCGTCGGCCATAATGGTCTGGCCCGCGTTCGGTCGAGGTGGGCTGCATCTGGCCCGTACCTGACTTGAGTTTGAGACCCCTGCATTAGACGTTGTCTAAGGAAGGTGATCGGAGGAGATAAAAGGCTGTTTGTTTGTATAAGATACTGCGTGTTGGAAGCAAAATACGTTGCTGGCTTTTGCTTTCTCATAGTTCAGATTCTCAGATCTTGTTAAAAAAAGAAGAGTGCAAAATTCAGCGTTCCCTTTTCCCTGAAATACACATCAAACCCGCTTTCTCCTGAACGAGGCTCCGTCCCCATTAGCTCTAGAAATGAGGCCCCGGCCGTCCTTCAGAGGAGAGAACGCAGACTTAATGAGGACTGAAAACTTTGTGTCTGATAATCAGGAAGCTTTGCTTCTCTGTCGGGCCGTAAAGAGAAACACAAGATATAAAGGGAGAAAAGTGGGAATGTTTGGCTTGTGGGACTCTGATGATGTCGGGGCCTCCTGCCTCGTTGGGATGTAGAGAACAGACAAAAGAGCCTTTTAATACCAACTGACATCAACATGTGAATCGTATCAACGCCGTGCGCTGCCATTGAAACACGTCTCCAGGAAACAACGTGAAATTGGATTATTCATTCCCTCATAAAATGTCCCTTTGCTTCATGGCACATGTATCATTTGAAATTGACAGCAATAATATAAATATTATCCC